TATTCATATTAACTAGGAAAACAAAATAGTGTCTAACTTAACCAGGAAAGGGTTCACAGGAAACCTCCTCGTTGCATCAAGGGACTTAAAAGAGAAAATCAAGGCTAGCCCTGTTCTCACTAACCAGACTCTCCTCAGTCACCCACCTTTTGATGAAATCTGTCGAGATCAAATGCTTTTGATCCGATCTGATTTTTACCCTAAGCTGATGCTTAAAGAAAAGCACCAGATCCTGATGTGAATAACATTCATCCTGCAAGATTCCCTCCTTTCGTGTCGACCACTCCACCATTCTTGCCATGGCTAGCAATGTAAAAAATACGCTCATTTTACCCCAGAGAACAGGGGCGACACATTGTCACACACATATGCGAGATCAATGGACATGAGCTGATTGGGAGCGATATGAGCTGTCAACTCACCTACATACTCCCAGAAAGGGTGCACATGAGGACAATGGTAGATGGTATGTGAAGCTGTTTCGTCTAAGCCAAGGTCACACCGAGGACAGTCTGGCAAATCTGCCTCACCCCATCCGAAGAGTACATCATTGAGAGGTAGCATGTTCCGAATCAATCACCAGCTAAGTAAAAACTCAGGGTTGCTCAAGACCAAAAGGAGTGCAACTCCAATGCCGACAAGTCGAGCTGGTCACACAGAGGATCCTTCGCGACTACCTCCACTAATACATGATACAATAGTCTCTGACACCGAGAAAGGTCACTGGATAACCTTCAAGGCTTGACACATGCTGAGGAAACTCGACGACCGTGATGACGCTTACCCCAAGAAATGGGGGGGAAGTGATGGTAAGGATAGGGAAGGTGTCCCTAACACTCGGCGCCAAAATCGAGTCCTCCATCAACATGCAGTGTAGGAAAACCAACCTTGAGGCATGGTGATGGGTGGCTGGGATTGTCAGGTGTGGCAATCCCAGCCACCCATGACACGGACGCTGATAACAGGCTTCTTTGCGTACCCAATGTTTGCGACCAACCCACAAGAGGTTGGTCAACAAACGCTCAATCATCTCCATACGTTTCCTGCAAAGAGGAAGTACAGCCAAGCGGTAAAGGATGAGGGGCAAGACATAAGTGGCACACACCTCAGCCCTACCCTTTAAGGGCAACCTCCTTCGAAGCCAAGTCTGAACCAACACTCCAACCTTTGCCTGTACTTCTGACCAATTCTTCTTGAGCTGGAGTCTGGGCCCAAACCATTCCGCAAGGATGCAGATGGGTCCATCAGTTCCGCTGAAGGGCCCTGGAAGTGCGACCCCCTTCCAGGCACCTAACTGCAAACCAGAAGACTTGTTGCTGCCCCATCACCTTCTTGTCCAGTTCAAGCGCCTTCTGCACTACCTTAATGTTGCTGTGGCATGACATGAAGATGGATATGTCATTGGCATACACAGAAACCCTAGCTCGAGCACTACCAGGGAAAACAATGATTCCATATAGGGCTGGACTGCATACCCCATAGTCAGCGAAGGAAGGGCTCCAATACCAAAGCATAAATTAAGGGCAACATCGGGCATCTCGACTGACCGAGTCAGCGCAAAAGCACTTGACCACCTTCCATTCACCTGTATCACAGCACTGGGGGAGCGATCCACCTGCAGAAGTTGGGTTCGAATCCGGCGGCCTGCAGGACAGCAGTCAGATACTGATGGTCAGCCCTGTCAAATGCCTTGGACTGCTCCAAATTGATTAGTGTGGCTCGCTTGTCGTCTTTTACACCCTCTATGATCATATGGATCAGATGCAGGTTGCTTTGAATTGTTTGTCCCCTCATGACACAAGTCTACTCAGGTTCCAACAAGCTTGCGACAACTAACTGCAACCTCTCCATCAGGATCTTGGCCAAAATCTTTAACTCGGTGTTTAGCAGAGTTATGGGCCTGTAATCATCTAAATCCTGCCCACCACCCTTGCCCTTTTTCAACAGTGTGATCACATACCTGGAAATCCGACTAGGGATGAACCCCTGCCGGAATCAGTTGTTGAACACCACTGTCAAAATTGGGACAAAGATGTACGACAGCCTCAAGTACATTTCGTAGGGCAGACCATCAAGTCCCAGAGACTTTCCTCTGTCAACCTTCTTCAATGCCAAGTAGACTACGCTGTCCATGATCTCACCCTTGCATCTAGCCACTTTGATTGGTGAAAGCCGAGGAAAGGCAGCTAAATAGTTGCAAAACTCGTCGCCACTGAGACCAGGCTCCTTGGTAAACCGGCTCTCGAAATGCCACCGAAACACCTCGCACATGTCCTTGGTCAACCTTAGAGAGCGCCCCTCCATGGTAATGACCTTGCGAATATATCAATCAGAACCTTGACGGATCTTTTCCTTGTGCAATTCTGTGCCCATGTTCTCAGCTTCGTTAGACATCATGTTTAACCTATGTCTAACTACCTGACCCTGGTAGCGCTTGCTAGCCTCATGCTTCAGGGCCTGCCTAGCTACGGCTATCTCTAGGGAATCCCCCCCCAAGCCACTGAATAGACAACAAAGTTGCTAGACAGCACATACGCATCAACATTGCAAACAATGTGCATTTCCTGGATCGCAGCTACATCTACACCAAAGGACAAGAGATCCCGAAGATGGGCAGCCTTACCCCGATCCCTCAAACCACTTACATTCAGGATGGCTAGCTTGATAAACATAATTTAAGCGTGATCCCCTAAATGCAGACTAAACAGAAATCTGCGGGTTTCAAGACCCTGATGGATTGTCCAAGACTTCCTGTGCCTATGTCGGACGTAATTCATCCCTCCAAGACAATGCCACTAATGTCTGTAGGGTAAGTTAATTTTAGAGTCCTATATAAACAAGGATGGAGAATAACTGGGTCCCTCCCTGTGCACATTTGCAACATTTTTTGTAGCTCCGGAGAGCCAAGTTGCACCATTTTTATATTAGAGAATGCATCCAGGGCCTCCGCTAAGTGATCACAAACTTTCAGATTCGCCCCTGTGTTCCTGATGAAAGTCGTCACACCAGGTGCTTTTGGAGAGTTTCGACGGTCCTCCGTTGACTTGCTGTCCACGGAGGTACATTTAATTAGATGTCTTATTAGGGCCTTCTTTTTAACTGAGAGGTCCTTTTTCAGGACCCTTCTGTCCAACTGGCAACTAGCCACCCCCTTAGGGAAAGATTTCTTTTTCTTGGGAGGGGTTTTTCTTTTTTCCACTGAAGCAGGGGATACTGTGGAGGAGGGAGATTGCAAAACTTTAGTGGGGGAAGGGGGGAGGCTCATAATCCTATTTTTTCCAGTGTCTTTTCCCTTAGTTGGCGAGGCGGGAAGCGAATGGGACCTGGGGTAGTCTCTGAATCTTTTCACCCTGCTACAATCAGACTTTTTTCTTTTTTCAAAACTTTCTCCTCATCGTCCACCTCATCGTCCCTCCCCCTTTTCAAAGAAGACGATCTAGGTCGAGACATGACCTCCACCTCCATACCTATATCCAGTAGCTGGTGCTCAGTCTGCATTTGTAAATCTTTCTCTAGTTGTTGCTGGTATTGTTGTTGTTCCAGTGGCTGTGCCTTTTGTTGCTGTACCTCTTGGTATTGCTGTGTCTCTTCATGTGGCTGCCAGGTCTGTTGCTGCATTGTTGTTGCTGCTGCTGAGAAGGCTTCTGCTTTGGGCTTTGTTGTTTATGCCCTGGTGAGACTTCTTGCTGGGGAGATGGAGGAGGGGTTGCTGCTTTGCATCCCTTCCTGGTCACCTGCTGCCACTCACTGGCATCCTTAGGGTTTTGGACCACAGCTTCCTTTACTGCTGGCTGTTGTTGAACTGTTGGCTGTTGGACAGTTGGCTGTCAACTGTTGCTCAGTTGGTGGTGCTGGGTTCTTGCCAGGGCATTCCTTAGACATATGTCCCGCAGCTCCACAAGACCAACAATGGGGCCACTGTCCTTGCACAACTACAAATATTTTTCTTCCACCGCAAGTCAAGATATCAAGGATGTTGTTGTTTGTTTTCCTAGTTAGAATCACATTTACAATAATATCCCCGTGGATATGCTTGTTTTGCCTTTCGCCAGCATGATGTCAGCAACCTGTCCATATTGGGCAAAAAAGGCTCCCAAATGGTCCTCAGATATATCCATGGGCACTCCATGTAATGTAATCTTAGTCTTGTGGGTGCCCATGTACTTTGTTTATAGTCTCACTGATTTCATAGATGAGAATACTCCCAGCTAGTCTTTTGGCTTGTTCAATGAGGTTGCCAGCAGTATATCCCAAATGTCGGATCTTTTGGCCAGAATTTTTAGGGCTATGTTAAGGGTTTTAAGAGCCTCCTCCATTATTTCCTGGCTGACTCCTATCAGCTTCCGGGACTTAACATCTGAAGTTAGCAGTGAGATAGTTCTAGTAGTCACTGCTCCTAACACAGACGGTATTGATAGTAATTCATCACTGTCAATAAATTTTTTGTATTTTTCTTTGAGAGCCTTGTAATACTCTGGCCTCTTCTTTGCATTTCCTGACGCCGATGGGCTTGGAGTAGCTGGCATTGATTTCTCTGGGCTGGGAGGAGACTCCTCCATAATGCAGGCGAGGAGGGCTTCCACGTCAGAACATGTAAAAGTCTACTAAAGCAATATTTTTTAAACAAAACCAATGTGTACTAAAATAAACTGTTCTTCCAAAACACAAAAACTGACAAAAAGTGTCATTTACTATTGAAATGCTGAAATAGGTCCATTAGAGTCGACTCAACATTGTCAGGGTCAACTGGCCCCTCTGAAATTTGATGACTGACTGACTTGAATTGAGTCATGTGTTTGTTTATATAGAGTTGGGTGTTTAAAATTCGGCTCCAGGGACCTTAGGCAAGAAAAGGTTCTGTTGTGACTTGCTACAGTTTTAACCAATAGAAGATTGAATTTTACTGAAATGAAATGTTGATTGGCTAAGGCTTTGTTTTATAGAAGGAAACATTTTTCCAAAAGAGGTGGAAGGTTAATATGGAAGATTCCACAATATCATATCGAAACACCTGACCCCGTAAGATCATTGAAGTTAAGCAATGTTGAGCCTGGTCAATAACTAGGTGAGAGACCGCTTGGGAATACTAGGTGCTGTAAGCTTGGATGTGTAGGCAGTGAAATTGATAAAGGCTCAAAATTGGAAATTGGAGAACCAAGTTTCAGTTCCAGTTGGGTCATTATATTCAGTTATGTGTAAATATCCTTGGGAAAGGCAGGAATCCAGCTATGTGTTAATCAGTAAATTCGTATTATCTCCAAAAAATTCTTGCAATTTAAAACGAAAAACATTTTCTGGAGAAAAAAATGTTCTAATTCCACATGCCATACCTTTTTTGGATATCTCAGTTTCAGTTAGTTCCCTTTAGTAACTCAACTCTCCAACCTTTGTTCCCTCTGCTGTGGCCAGGTATTGAACTCATAACTCTTTGGGTCAAGTCTTTTTTGTGGATTACTCAACCAACGTTGTTATCTGCTGGGTCATGGCATGTGGAATTAGAACAATCTACCCCGTGGACTAAATAAAGGGTTTGGTTTGAAATTCTAATGTATATTACCTGAAAAAGGCTGTTGATATGTTGTGAATATGGCAATAAAGATGAGGACAACAGTCTGAATGATGTAAATAGTGTAAATAGTTACAAATGTGGGAGACTCACTCACATCAATTAGCCTTGTGTTCACAGAGATAAAACTATACTTGACAGGAAATAAAACATACACAAATAACAGGAAAAGCATGGAAAATTGTATGTTAATTTCATACAATTTATTTATATTTTCTTGTGATGGGTTACAATTGTTTTATAGTACATGTGATAAAAGAGAGAATTTAGTCCATAGTATTACAAGTCATATCACAGAGAGAAGTTACACACGTGTTGCCTGTACCAAGTTTCATGTCGAAGAGCTTGAATTTAACATCTTTGGGCAGGATGTTTGTATTTCCAGCAGGAACAGTTTTTGTTGCATGCTGGGAATATTTTTATTATTTTTAATTTTTATTTAATTTATTTTATAAAATATCTTTATGTTATTGTTTTATTTTATTTTATTTATAATTTTCACTATTATTATTACTTTTTATTTTATTTTTATTTATTTATAATAATAATAATAATAATAATATTCATACACAATATTTCATCTCAGAAATATAGACAGATGTTAATCTGCTCTGTTTAATTTTCTTTAACTGTTGGATTGCACCTCATTCATATACATGTGAATGTATTTATATATAATATTTTCTTTTTTCTTCCAGCTATTTCAGAAAGTTTGCAGAAGAGAGGAATTTTAGACAAAATCAAATCCCAGATCAGAGCAGAAATGTTCAGCGTTCTGGATGAATGTTCAGGCACAAAGCCACCGATTTGTAATGAAAACTTGATAATCAATGAATTGATCCAAGAATATCTGGAATTTAACAAATACAAACACACGGCATCAGTTTTTATGGCTGGTAATTTTTCTTTGTTATATTTTTCCAATTTTTATTTCTTTTGTTGTACTGGAAGCTCATTCTGTGTTCCTGTCTGTATGAGAGTATCTTTTCTTTTTTGTTCTTAATACTAGTTTTGTACCTGTTGCTTTACTAATGACAAGATTATCAAATTCAAAATCTTAATTGTTTTCCCATTTAAAATACAAGATTTATTAGAACATATATTCAGTTTAAATACAGAAGGTATGAAAATGGCTATAAAAGGCTGCTCATTTTGGCTTCTACTCTTTTCCTATTACCCAGGGATTGTTGCCAGAAAAAAAGGAAATTAGTTTTGCAACACAAATGTCCATTTCAATTTCATTCAAGTTGTGTGTGGAGTATGTATGTTTGCATGTGTGCCGGTATATAATTAGTTCAGTTACAGACTTAAAAATATTCCTAAAAAAATAACTTTGAAATATAATTCTATTTATAACCAAATAGTTTTTGAAAAATTTTATAAAATGAGTATCTGATTTTTTTTTGCTCTAACTTTATGATTTTATTGATCAGTCCAGGGTAGAGGTTGTCCAGAGTGAGTGGAATAGATTGATTGGTTGATTTGTTTTTTTTATGGCTTATCAACCCTTTTATTGATTATTTAAAACATATTCTTGGTTTGTAGGAATAATTATTTAAAAAAAATACTTTGTTATTTTTTTTTGGAGATAATCATTTTCAGGTACAAGCCCTACTATTTAACCCATATCTGGGAGAAGAAGAAGTGGATTCATACTGTTCTCAAAGGTGTTTGTGCATAAGTGAATGGAATTCAAACTTTGCTCTGCAATTTCTCATTCTGTGCTGTTATCTGTTACACCACATTGTATTATTCCCAAGTAGTCATCTATCTAGGTAATAACCTGGCTTGACATTGCTTAATGCCAGTGATTGAACAAAAACTGATGTTTCAATGTGTTATGGCTGTAAGCCAGAGTTAGTAGGAGGGAATGTAATATTACAATGTTTTATTTCAAATTTGGTAAAATTATGTGTGCATGTGTGTGTATACACGCATATGTTTGTGTGTACATTAAATGGCAAAAGCACATATACATCACTCCCATACAACATAGACACATCCATATAGATTACATACACACATGTAAACCGTGTGGGATGTTATTTTATTTTATTTATTTTTTTTTTTGCTTGTGACATGACATTTCATCTGTTGTAGTCTCAGTCTTTCAGTTTACAGGATAACCTCAATGTTTGATTTATTAAATTTCTGGAATTTTTTTAAACCTGGAAAATACTTGCTTCATTTATAGGAGAACTAATTTTTCATTTCATTGCCAAAAAAACATGGGAAAACAAACAAAATTCATGGTTTTATGATATGTAAAGACATAGAAGATATTTTCAATTAAAAATTAAAACAAAAGCAAATAAATTCAAATCCAGAAACAAATTACCTGTTAAAATAAAAGTAAAAAAAACTAACTTGAGTAGATAATAATAAAAGCATGGAATGTTGCAATACATAATTATCTTTCAGGTAGAATTTTCATCAGATTCTTCCTATAAGAACAAATATTCAGATTGTTGAACCATTCTTATTATGCATCCTGGGTAAGATGATAAACTATATCCGACAGCAAAGCCTCTGATCAGGAGGTTTTGAAGAGTGTGGAACCACCTTTTAAGTGCACCTTGACCCAGGGTGGTAGTACCTGTTAGGGTCCCAACTATGGGCAAATAGTTAACTCCCAAAATGGGGTCAAATGCTCATTCAAACAAAAAAAACCTCTTTTACTAATAACATTTGTAAAAATATTACTAACAATGAATTTTGAAAAAAAAATTATTACCAGCATACATTTTTGAAAAATATTATCAGTAAAAATCTTGTCAAATTTAATAACTATGTGAGATTGATAAATAAAATAAAAACCAAACTAAACTATTTTCCATTTTTTTTTTTTAAACATTTCATCAAAAATAAGGTGATAGTTTTATGCCATTTAAGATGCAAGGGAGTTACTACTAAGAAAGTTTAGAATCAGAAGACTATAGGAGGAGAAAACATACTCAAGCATTTAAAAAAATATAGATATTTTGTTTAAACATTTAAAGCAAACATAGGTGGAAACTAGAGAAACGATGTGAGAAGCAAGGCAAGGTAATTGACTAAAATATAACTTAAAGTTATATTAATGATTTCAATATTAAATTTTATTCATAATTCTAAATCTAGTACTGTACTTAAAATGTCTGTTGAAGTAAAAGAGGAAAGTTTTACAAATAATCATAGATAATAAAATATTTATAGAAAAAAAGTTAATTAAAGTCCTGTCTTCGATAAAAGGAACAATTATTTTTTAAAAAGTCTCTCTGAGCTGTTTGAAATTCAATCCTCAAGGGATGTTAGATATTGTTACCAGAAGAAGCTATGCTTGAAAACACTTGTTTTAGTAGCTACCGTTCAATGGTTAACTAGTGTCAGTAGTTCGATCCTCATTGGATGCTTCCCTTTACCGTAATCTGGTTGCTGTGAAACAAAATAACGATTAGTAAATAACAAGAGTAAATAGAATCTTGGCATTTACTGCTGAAAGGGGTGAAAATCGATTTTTTTTATATGCATTTTATTTAGGTGGATAATGTTCCTAACATAATCAAAAATTGATGAAGGAATATAACAATGAGAAGCAGGTGAGCGTTATGAAATGGGATTATAACAGTATATAAGAAAGATACCCCATAGTATGGTTAAAATAATTATGATACAGGCTCCTCAAGAAAAGTGAGCAACATGTTGTAACTTAAAGTTCATTAAAATAAATTGGTTTTATGAAATAAGTGTTGGAGTTTAAATAAATGATCACCATATGTTGCTTGAATGAGCCATTTCCATCCGTAGATGAAAACAAGTCTTTGAGAGTAAACGTGTCCCATGCTTGATTTGTGCAATAACAAATGGATTCTTCTGAAAATGCGTCTACCTTTTATTAGTTGACCATATATCACCCCAAGGCTTTTCAAACTCTTGCACGGAAAAATAGAGCGGTCTCTCAAGTTTGTTCATTCTTTTTCAATATACAGCATGAATGTAGTTTTCTACCACGTCTGCAGCGAACGATTCGGTGAAACCGATTTAAAATTTATGACATTGGTCGTTATTTCGTGAAGGGCTTGACTAGCACAGATTGAAATATTAAATCGATATGTTTAATTTAGATATATCTTTGAAAAAGAATGAGGCCATTGAAGATAACCCGATTTAGTAGTTTGTATTTGTTCATTGTGTGTGTGTGTTTTGTTGTTTAGGACCTTGTTTGTTTACTTATGATGTGTTTCATTTGAAGATGAATCCTGTTGGCTTTTTCTGTTCTCGAGCAAGTGATGTATTAAGGAATTGTTTTTATATTTTCACTCATCCAAAACTATTTGCTTTTATTGGTTTTCTAGTTTAGACATTTTCTTAGCTTTGTAAACGTCACATTCAATTAGTGATTGAGCTCTAAACTTCAAAATGTTTTTTTCTGGAGAATGAACTCAAAGTTGTTTCAAACAAGGAAACAAGTTCTGTGTGAGTATTTGTAAGTTTTAAACAGCTTTTAAAATTAAAAAACAAGAATTGATTTTTTGCCATCATGTTAAAACAAAAG